TTACTCCTGCTGTTCTCATTTAAAGTAGATTTTGTTCAAGGGAAATAAGATCATGGTAGAGAGTGGTGCTTCCCCAAATCCAGGATCACAATAAAACTCCTTTCTTCTGGTGGTTTTCAGTTAATTCCATGCATGGTTTATAATAAACTAGAGTTTGTGTGATATTATTTTAACCATATATGTATGGTGTCCCAGTAAATAAAACTGGATTGAAAATGGTTAAAATCCCCTTTACAAGGTGAGAATTAGCATTCCCCCTTGCTTATCCTTCTACTCCCATTGATAAAAGAGAAAGTACAGACCAAAAGTGATAGTTTGAAAATAGCAGCAACAATCACAAAAGAAATCAGAGGGTGATAATGTAGTGATACCTATTGCACGTATTTTCCCAGGAAGATAACAGACATATAGTTTTTAACCTTGTGTGACACAGCTTACCTGTTTTAACAATGCATGCAAAACTGCATCACAAAGGAGGGGGGGCTAGGTTTTCTTTTCATTTATTTTTCTTTGATTTTTTTTTGGAAAAAAAAATCAGAAAAGCACAAAGTATAATATACGGGTACCCACATACAGGGCCCAGAAAAAGTGAATGAGTGTTAGCACTTTGCCATATTTGTGTGAGAATGTTTTTTAAAGAAATGAAGCATATCAGATAAAGTATAAGTTCCTTTGTTTTCTTTCCATTCCCTTGTTTTGAAAGGCTGCCACTTGGAGGAAATTGTCCGGAATCCTTCTACTGTGTCTTCAGAATTTTATGCTCTCTCTCTCTATATATATATATATTACAATATATGCTACTATAAAATATACTATTTAGAGTGTTATTTTGTATATTTTGAAATTTTAACAAATGGCATCATAATCAACAATCTACAACTTGATTTTTCTCAATAAACGTGTTTTGATATTTATATCAACAAGATACAATACAAATAGGTCTAGTTCATTAATTGTGTTTTATACTATTTTATTGAATAGATAAGTCACTGTTTACTCGTTTGATAATGGATATTTCTGTTACATCTAATTGTTTTCCATTGCAAGCAATGCTGCAGTGAGCGCCCTTGAACTTGTCCCCTTAAGCACATGAATCAGTATTTATTAGGGTGATTTCCTAGGAATGAAATTGCTGGGCCATAAGATATATGTGTTATCAACTTTATTTAGATATTGCCAAAATGTTCTCTCACATGGCTATGCCAAGTTATACTCCTTTTCAGCAATGCTGGAACTAGCTTTCTAAAACAAACATGCCAAGTATACTTTGTATAATTTTGAGGGTTTTGCATTGTGAAATTTAACCTTTTTTCCCACCAAGTGTCCTGTATGTTTCTTCACATGTATTAATATTTCCCCTACCTCCAAAGGTTCATTTGTTTGGCTTTCTTAGAAAGAAATCAAAACTTCGTTGTTCATGTACATTCAGAATAATGAACACGATTTTTAGCAAAATTTTGCTGTATTCAAGTGTTCTTTCAGAATGAGATCTTTTCCTTAATCTAAATTTAACTCCCTTGCCTTCATTCTCACTATTTAAATGAATAAAATTTCTGACCTTTCCCACATTTTCATAGGTCCTGGGGGATTGTCTGAACACTTTGTGCATTATGTTTGATATTTTTCTATTTTAAATCATTTGAAAGGTAATAAAAACAAAATAACTCTTGATGTTGGCTTTAGTTCATCTCCTTAAATTCCTTAAGTTTTTTAGACCTATCAGGTATCTAACTTAAAATTTCATTTTAGTGGCACACAAATGTAGATGTTAATGCAACCTCCAAGAACAACTTCCTGAACCCAAAACTGTTGCTGCAAATCTAGACTGAAACCTGCTGAAACATTTCCCCCCTGCAGTTCCTTCTCTACTACCAGGAAGAGTGTCAGCCCGTCTGGAAGTTCAGTTACATATAGAAATGTTTTTAAACTGAGCTCTTAAATGGTAACAAAGTTGAGCTAATGGTAGACACTAATGATAGGGCCCCAATAAGTATCTAGAATTTTTTTGAGATGTTGTTTTTAGTTCCTGTTTACCATTCACATTCGGGTATCCTGCTTTTTAAAATTTTATTCTCATACTAAAGGAATGAACAGAAACAGGCATCAGAGCCTCTGGCCCACTGCTGCTCTTTCAAGAAACACTGAGTTTTAATATAAAACTCTTCACAAGGCAGACCAGAAATAGCTGGGAATTGTCTTGAGTCAATACAAAGGCACTGTGTTGCGGCCTCCCTAAATAACCTTGGTGGAAGGTGCTGGTCATATTAGCATGCCGAGTCCCCTTGAGGAAATCCCACATGCTATAAGTATGTGTTGTTATGACTTGACATTTATAACATTTTTGAAGCTTTTGTTTTTTGTTTTTTGGGGAAGCTGGGTGAAATGAATATAATTAGATTTGTGTTTTGAAAGATCCCTCTGGCTACAGTTTAGAGAATGAGTTGCAGGGGCCTGGAGGGGCTGCAGGGAGATCAGTTAAGAGGCTCTTGCTATATTCCCGTGAGAAGGGAACTCATCTGGGCCAAGACGGTAACAGTGGAGAGGCTGAGATGGACACACTTGAAAAGTATTTAGGAGGCAAATTCAACTGGATCTGGTGATGGCTGGGCCCTGGGGGCTTAGGGAAAGAGCAGTATCGTGGTCGAATGAGTTTCCTCAACTCTGGATATGCAGTTATGTATGGGATTTAAGTAGGTACGTGGGATTCGTGTCACAGGTCCATGTGAAATACTGTAATAGCAGTATTGGCTGAAGCCGGGGAAGCCCAACCACATGCCATTTGCTGCATTGTGTGATATCTGGGCAAAGCCCCACAGACAAAGCGCATTCCTCAAGGCAAGTAGCAGTTTACATTAGGCAGGCAAAAATTGTAGTTTTCCTTGTAGTCATGGTATGCTTAGTTAGGAAGATTACTGCTGAAGCAAGAGTGTAGGAGGAAATATCTCTTATACTCATTTTCAAGATGGCCTGGTCAGTGGCTGGTGTTCAGATGCGCTCACAGTTGAGATGGCCCCTAATACATGTAAATGTTAGAGCATTTTACTTGCAGGTGAGGATATTGGCTGGAAACACACAGGAGGATAATTACATGTATTTCTCAAAATGCTTCGTGACACTTTCACCAGCAGTTCTTACGGAAGGTCTATTTATGGGGGAAGGGTAGGGCAGGGGTTTGGCCATCAACATTTTTTACTCTGTTAAAGATGAATACGGGCATTAAGGGACCGATGATGGCTTTGTTCAATATTGCGTTGTCTGTCAACAGCAGACTCAGCATTGAAATTCGAATCAACTTCTTAAAAAACAAAAACAAAACAAAAAGAAGACAATAAAAACAGAAACAACAGCAGTATAATCTAAATATATTATCTGTAATTAGATTGCTCACGTAGCAGATGTATCTACCCCATGAAATGTTTTCCATTATCCAAAAACTAGGAAAAAGAAGTCATTAGCCTTAAATATGATATAATCCAAGAATCTCTTCATTCTCCTCAGGCTAAATTGATTATCGGCTGTGATCACTCTGGTGCATTTACCCAGTTGTAACTTCTCGAACAATTATTGTTACTAGATTAATGTTTGTCTTTTATTTGTGGGGGTTAGTGGAAAGGTGGGGGGTGGAGAGGAATGAGTTCGAGAAAAGAAAAAAAACCCCACAAATCTCAGCTGTTTTAAAACGCCTGGTGATAGGAAAAAGAAACTGTCATCACTAAGCCCTTTGGTGCCCCCAGAATAGAAATACTGAGCTAAATTAATATGAATGGCCACACTAATTTGGGGGCTTAAATGTAACCAGTGAGGCTCTCTGCAAGACTGATTCTCCGTATCTGTCTGGGAAGAAGTAGAAGGGCCGACTAGCAAGAGTAGGAGACACGATTTCTCAGGCTGCTCTGGGGAACACCTCAGTAGCTACCAGAAGAAGGATCCCATTGTTGATTTTATTTGAAAAGGTCCAATCGTACAATGGTCCTTCTGAGAACTGTACCCCTATGGAACTCTTTTAACTGCCCCTTGCTTCCTGGATGCCACTAGGACTGAAACGACTTTCTAGAACCGCTGTGGACACGTAACCTTCCCATCTCCTGCTCCTCTGGAAACCACACCCCCCAAAGTGCCCTTGATCTGAAGCGGTTTCTGGAACAATGAGCTGTTGTCTCTGCTGTGGGCACTAACTGTGACTGCTTGGCTAGCTAGTTGTTTTGCATAAGACGTTTCATCCCATGCTTATTGCATGGTTTGAAGTGGATTTCATTTTCGTGAATGTGATCTTGAAATAAAATCTGCTTGAGCTGATCTAAGGCAATACTTATTAGACCAACTTCAGTTAAGAAATTCAAAATCCATAGGATAGGGCACAGTTACTTTTTTTCTTTTCCTTTTCGAGGGTCTTTCTTTTTTGATGACTCCTCTCCTAATAGTTTCAGGTCATGACAGCAGCAGAAGTCCTACATCTTCTGCGAGGTGAGATCCATTTATTTCATGGGAATCAGGGTCTGACTTACCAGTTCCTGACGGCCCCTGCACTCTCCAACTGCCTTCTGCTGGGTGTAGCCCGGCTGGTTGAACAGACGGTTACTGCCTCCCAAATGCCTTCGAGCAGTTGTGCGTTGGACACTGGGGGCCTCTCATGTGGATGTTCCAACCATGTCAGCATGGCCTCTTCTTTCAGCTTGCTTTGTTTATCCGGCAGCTCATTACTTGAGACTAGCCTGTCAAAATAGGTTAAATATTCTTTGGGAAATATGGTCACGTCCTCGAGATACCACAAATATGTTTAATACAGGGAAGATTGGCTTGATAAGAAAAACATGATCGACTTGCTTCACCAAAAAATATTTTCCTGTTATTCCAGTTGAGTTTCCACAAGCATCAATAAGCACCGGCAAACCTAAGGGCAATAAATTTGTGCAGCTGACACATAAAGACACCCAGGGAAGCAGGGAAGATGATTGCTGATGATTCGTTCTAACTACTTGACCTTCTGACCTCTTCTCCAGATATATGACCAGGATGGGACACTACAGCACTTTATTGATGGTGGGGAACCTAGTAAGTCGAGCTGGATGAGGTATATCCGATGTGCAAGGCACTGCGGAGAGCAGAATCTAACAGTAGTTCAGTACAGGTAAAGTATATCTTGATTTACCACCTACAGAAGCCGTGCGGCTTGCGTATACAAATTCAGGCTTGCTGCTAGTGGTTGGAAAAAACCCTGCAGACCTCTGCAGGACTGGCAGACACTTTTCGGTAGGTTCTTATGACAGCGATTTCACAAGCATTCGGGATTAAAGGTGCTAGTAGACAACTTCCTTCACTCAGGGCATGTGGTAACGTTGCTTCCACATCATTGTCTGAACTTCCACAGCAGCCTAAATGAGTCTAGCAAACCCACCGACGTGGGGTGGTTTCCCCCAGCAGATGTGTACACACAGATAAGTAGGAATTCAGAGATTCAGCTCCAGGCCCCTTGCTTTCAGTCTCCGTCAGGCTGTCTCCCCATGGGGAACAGTTTCATTTGCACGAAGGCATGGGAAAGCAGGAACTCTCTACCTTCCCAAGGCCACCTTTCCAAAACCGTTAAGCTTAGCAGCAATGGCAGAGCTGGGGTAACTCCCCTGCCCTCCCTAAAGGTGCCAGAGCTTTGGGTTCTGCCTTTTGATGACGTAGGGTATATTGCAGATGAGCAGGCGCTTCCAGAGCATAGACAAACCCTGGGTTTCCTGAGATACATGGTCAAAGCCCCAAAGGGTGAGGAAGGCGAGCGGAGCCATCCCCACTGCCTGCAGGGAGTTCCGAGGGCGGCCAGGGGCAGCGAGGGCCAGGCCGTCTTCCCGCGCTGAGGGCATCTCAGCGCACCTGCGCCCAGGCGCTGCCGCGTGGCGCTGAAGAAGGCTACGGTGGAAACGAGAGGGCAAAGACAAATCGAATAGGAAAAAACCCCTACCACTAAGCCTTCTTTTCTCAAAATCCCTCGAAAACATGTGCCATGTAAATATATGAGCTCAGTTATAAACAGCCGTGTTCCCTTTAGAATCAGAAGCAACTGTTTAGCTTTATTAGGCACCACGGACACATCAAAGCGGAGGGAGGGCTCTGTGCTCGGCAACTTGGAGTCCTGCCTGTGGCTATTTATTTTCCTTTCTTTTTTTTAAAAAAAAAAGAAAATGAAGCTTTTTTTAATTTTTTTTTTTAACTGTCTTCCCCTTATAGGTTAAAGGCTACACAAATCTGGCTTGCTCTCTGAAAGTCTCCGGTTCAAAAGAAACATTTGGGCAGCATGCGACTCGCTGCCTTGGTTTCCACTGCAGTTTTATTTTATTAAATAATGGTTTCCATGAAATAGTACAAGACAGTATTTGGTTACACCGTCGTATAGAGGCTTTACCCACCTTTATTGCAGCTGCATTTCTGTCCTGGGGTTTTTATAAAACTCTGAGCTAGACAATTTGTAAAGATTGTACTTGCCCATTCGGCCAGAGATAGTTTGGCTGGATCTGTAATGAGTACCCAGGGAACACTTGGGGCGAACTCCGAATTTGGGAAAACAAGAAACCCCTTGGAGGAAGATGGGCACGAGTAAGTCATCGCCTATCTGTCAATATTAAGTGGATTTTACAACTCCCCTTTCATGATGGTGCTTAAACTACGAGCTCTCTCTGCCAATCTGTTTTCGATTACTTCAGATCTTTATAAAATGAACTACAAAAACACAATTTTAAAAACTGGCATCCATCACCAGTGACCAGGTCCAAGAGTAAGAAAATAGAAAAGTTGGACCCTGAAGAGCCAGCCTAATTTTTATTGTACATGAATGTCCTCTTCACAAAAAGTCAGCTGGTTTAAATTCATTCTGTTATGATTTGTAATATCTAAATGGAATTTTCTTCAAAGCACCCTTGATTGATTGACCCTTAGCTGAACGTTTTGTTTTTATTTTGAGGCTGACAATAATGTTTGTTGGCATGTGTTCTGCTTCAACTGCGTTGGGACGCCATGAAGCTATCTTTATGAGTCATCCAACCACAATACTAAATACATGTCAGCAAAGGAAATATTATCTGAAAAGGGAAAAATCCCTTTGATGTGCTTCAACATGCAGAGATTTCTGCGAGTTTTGGAAGCTCTGCCCGCTTGTAAGGAACGGTGTATGCTTACACATTTTTTTCCCCCTTTCGGCCTACTCTGTGTCTCAGAAGACCACCCATTGCTCGAAAACAGTTCTGCTCTTTCAGCGGCAAAGTGTGTCATTTGGTTTTAGCACATTCATTTGCCGGGCGCTGTGTTTATATTAAGGGAAGCCAAACCGAGAGATGAAATGTTACAAGGGTGAAGTACAAAGTAGACTCAATTTTTCTCAAGTTAGGAGATGCCAGTGATTTATAGCCCAGCTCTAGTTTTGATTTTTTTATGTAGCAGTGGAAAGAATTAATAAAATGCACAGCTCTTCGAGATGCAGAGGGAGGAAGGGTAGTGAGGGTCGGACAACTGGCTGGAGTTTTTGTCAGATATTCATACAATGTTGGGAAAAACATTGTGCTTAGCTAGCAGTGCCCTCGTGAGACAGAGTGGCAGCAAGTGAGGAAAATAACAAGATAAATGAAATTTTTGCAGCTGCAAGTAAAATATTGAGAATCTGCACTTTTTTATTGATCTTTATGATCCTATTGCCAAGAGCCACTTTGTGGTGACAAAATATGTTGACAAGTGCATATCTCACTGCCATGAAAAATGTGGAGAAGGATTCGCCTTATGTCTGCACTGTTATACAAGGAACAAATTGCCCTGCTACAGCCAATTCCTCACAGAAAGGAGAAATTTAAGGCCCACCAACCCTACACACTTTTATCTTGAACTTGAGGCTAATATTTGTAGCAATTCTTCATTGAGAAAACCAGTCACACTCTCATTTTTTTTTTAATCTGTAGATTTTTCTTTATAGTACCAAAGCTGTTATAAAAAATGTTTATTTCTTGGTACCTTCACTGTATCATTTCAGAGTGTAATCTTTCAGCCAGAGTAAAGTGCTCTTCTTGTATTTATTGAATTTCCATTCATTTCAAATAAGAGAGTTTTTCTCTTCTCCTGTATCAAACTTTACAAGAAAGGCAGTGAAGAGGATTTTTATTTCTCTTAGTCCTTATATCACAAAGCTGCTTAATTTTATTACAAATTCGGGAACTCCCCATACCAAATTGCACGAATACACTTAATGCTTTTCCTTCAAATAAGAAATCAATAGTATTTATTTATATATGAGGTTGGGGCACCAGTGTCTTTGCAGTTTGCCAAGAGAGAGAATTTTCTCATTAGTGTGAGATGAAATTTTTTTAAAAAATGAACTCTTCCTTTCTCCTGTCTCTTGGGCCAAAAATCTGTCTCTTTAGCTGAGACGTTCTATGGTGGGACACTGTGGAAATCAACTGTGCACTGTTTATCATACTGAGTTATGGGCTCTAATTGGTTGCTGGGGATAAAAGGTATGTGTAGATTTATTACAAACAGAAACTGTTTAGGTGGAGCTGGGCAGAACTTTTGGGGGGCAATAAAAATGTGGATGGGGACACATGAGTCCTATGTATTACTAAGCTGGGTTTTCTTTTGTTTTGAATAGGTCGAATATATTCTACCGAGCCTGTATAGATATCCCCAGGGGCACCGAGCTTCTGGTGTGGTACAATGACAGCTATACGTCTTTCTTTGGGATCCCCTTACAATGCATTGCCCAGGATGAAAACTGTAAGAATTTATTTTAGCTCTGAATTCACATCTCAAAATACCTATTTCAAAGATAATTTTTTAAAAGTGTTTTTTGAAACTCCTGAAACATGGTTCTCTATGATGCGTAACGCAAACGTGCACAAGTCTGTTCCATCGTTTTCTTTTCCCTGTATGTCGTCTGCTTTCTCACAGGGCACCTTAGTCTGCACAGGCCCCGGTTCTTCTTCCCTATTCACAATTTCAAAGACTGCCAGAGTTTTAAATAAGAGCTGTTGGCAAAGTTAAGTCACTGAGCACCTACTATGTGCCTGGTTCTGTGCTTGCCACCTTAGAAAGTTACAAGAGCAGTGAAAGATACAACTTCTGCTCTGAAAGGAGGCACAGTTCTCTTGGAGCTATACTATGTGCAAAAATGAAATAATAAGAAAACAATGCCGTTTAATCAGGGGTAAGAACCCCTCCCGCCAATTGGGTGTTCTTCCTCCTACATAGTCATTGGAATGAGAAGTGATAGTAAAAACTGTAGATATGTGACTGAGGAATTTGTGTCTTTCTAAATTTTTTGTTTAAAATCATGTCTAGAACCAAGTAATTTTCTTATATCTTTATTATCATGCTAATCATTATCTTTAAAAAAATAATTTAACATCTAAGCAAATGTGAGCTTGCAGCAACTTTCACTTAAACTTCATATTTTTGTTTTATCGATTCTTTGGAAAGTATTATCAAGTAATTTCCAGTTTTTGGAACAGAATTGTGTAATTCTAATGTGCTTCAGTGAGAAACACTGGTTTCAATGATGCTGTGTTTTCTTGTCACCAAACTGACTAATTTGTGAACTGATAATTTGATATTATGCTACTAAAAGAAGCAAAGATAACAAATACATTTTGTTATTGGATAAGAAACTTCATTTTGGAAAAAAGTGTAATTTTCCTTTTTTCTTCTCCACTCTCTCTCTCTCTCTCTTACACACACACACACACGAACTTGATTTAAAAATGCTCATATTACTACTGATCAAAATACTGATGATCAGATATTTTTTCCCATGTTGACTTAAATTTCTTTGTCAAAAGTAAAATCCTTGAAAAGCCTATTACTATCAACTTTCCTTTTCTATTTTACTCTAACCTCAAACCAATCTCAAATCAAAAAACGAATCTTTGGACCTATAGTACATTCCTCTTACTTCCCAAGTTTCCATTGGAAAGTTTCTTTTCTGCAGCGATACTGCTGTTTGAGGGAGTGTCTGTTTTCATAGGAGAAAATCTCAGTGTTGGACATGAGTATGTGGTTGGAGTCAGAGGCAGATGTGGACGTGGAGGCCACTGTGCTCTGGTTTGCCCAGAATGGCTCCGTTCCTGAAACTCTCCTGAAACTAGATCTAGGTCCACACACAGAAAAACACCAGCATCACCCCCCGGTCTGCTGACATGGGCTTGTCTGTGCGTTGGAACCTTGACATAACCTCACCTTCTGAAGTGTGGAATTTGATCCAAAAGGATTCCAGAAAACCTTTGAGGTTCCCTGTCTCCTCCTTTAATACAACCTGCTATATGCCCTGAAGATGTGTGGTGTGTGCGTTGAGGAATGTCTAGGAGTGAACATGGCGAGGCCTAGAGTTCGAAAGTACACGGCACATAGTCCACGTAGCCATCCATCCATTCGTTCATTGCTCAGATATTTATGGAACACCTACCACGGGCCAGCGTCTTTGCAAGGTGCTGCGAATACAGCAGTGGACAAAGCAGGCGAGAATTCCTACCCTCACGGAGCTTACATTCTAGTGCAGGGGGACAGATTATCAACAAGCATAAAAGTGAACACATAGTTTGTCAGATGGTGATAAGTGTGGTCGGACTGGATAAAGCAGAAAAGGGGTAAGGGGTGCCAGGAGTTGGGAGTTACCGTTTCAGAGAGTGATCAGGTTAGGCCCCACTGGGAAGGTGGCCTTTGGGCAGAGACTTAAGAAGGTGAAGGGACGAACCGTGTGTTAAGGGGGGAAGAGCATTCCAGGCAGCCAGACTAGAAGCGTGAAGGCCCCAAGACTGGAATGTTCCTGGCGTGCTGGAAGAGCGTCACAGAGGCTGCATGGGGAGGCAGAGTGAGCAGGGTAGGGAGAAGTTAACTTGGACGTGGGCGGATGCAGGGGCAGGGACCTTGGAGGACTCTGGAGGCCATCGGCAGGACCCTGGCTTTGACTCTGTGTAAGCCCGGTGGCGAAGGGGCCTGTTGGAGGGTTTAGAGCGGAAGAGTGATCTGACTGAGGTTTTAGCAGGATCGCTCTGTCCGCTGAGTGGAGGCTGGACAGTGAGGACGCGGGAGGAGCAGGGAGTCCAGCTAGAGGCCCTTGCAGGAATCCAGGGGAAAGACAATGGTGGTTTGGAGCAGTGTGTGGCGGTGGAGGTGCTGAGAAGTAGTTGGATTCTGGAAATATTTTCAAAGTGAAGCCAGCAGCATTTTCTGACACATTAGATGCCAAGTGAAAAAGAAAGAGGAGTCGAGGATTGACTCCGAGGCTTTTGGTCTAAGGATCTGAGGCAGAAATGGAAACCATGGCATGTCCACTTAGGGAATGCATTTCTTACCTTTGACATGGTCCTGTGGATGGGAGACTCACATCCACATGTTGCTTCTACCTTACGATGCTGTTATGCGGACAGGAGGGATCGAGGGGTTGGGGTGGAGCATTTTGGGGTCTGTGTGCCATTCACAGCACCTGACAATGGGTGTCAAAGAGTGTCCCACCTGGTCTTCAGGTTCAGGGCAATAGTGCCAGAAATGTACTTTCTGGAAACAATACATGGTTTACTTTCAGTCCTTTTTTCTGTTACAGTCCAACCTGTGTGAAGCATTCTTGAGGTCGATGATTAGAGTATTGAGTAAATTCTACCAGGGTGTATGTTATGTCATTTAGCACCTGAAATCCTTGAAAGAAAATTTGCAAAGCCACAGGAACTTGAATAATTGTGGACTCAGTAGGAACACTAACCAGCTCTTTTGGGTTCAGTTCAGAGCTCTAAGTAAGGGTTGAGGGAAGTTCAAAGGGAATTAAGCCATCGACTAAAATGCTCAACAGTGACAATCCCCATTTCCCCCAAGAGTATTACAGGAATTTTACTTCAGTTCCTGTTTCAAATTCATATATCTGTCATGTGATTGGCCACCCAAGAAACCAGCAGAAGCCTTCATCAGATAGTGTGGGGGAGATATATGACTTTGAGTCTGACTCTGAGATGGAGTCTCCTTCCATGTGATTCACTGAGATACCTGGGAATGCTTTATAATGAGGATTCCTTATTCCGTGCTGAGAAAATACTCTGTGATTTAAAAGCACAAACGTGTGAAAGGGCACGGACAGAATAATTTAACAGATAGCCTTCCACAGCCCTGAGTAATTTAAATCATCTCCACCAGATTAGCAATTCTAAGACAATTTTTATCCCACTGAGCTACACACAGAATAAATTAGGTACTTTAAAAAGAAGCTTGAGATCAAAGACTTATTGGATAGAATACCCACAGAGCCTCCTTATAGTGCTAGGTCCAAGTAAACAATTAATAAATGTTCACTGGATAAATATTGGGAATTTTTATTGCCGTTACTAGAAGGGATTCAATGTTTCCACTGGATTTTTCTTTGTTAGAGAAACTGATACCTGGACCAAGATATTCAGGGAAATGTGATTTTGCTCAGTGAATAATACTTATTAAGCACTTTCACTTATAAAAATATAATTTTCTTCCCGTGGTTGTTGCAACATTGAAAGTGCACATTTCCTGCGGAGCGGGTGCGGCGGGCTCGGGCACGGTAAGGGCCCCCCGTGTTGGTGGCCACGGAGCAGGGGCGGCCGTGGCGCGCTCCCGCCTCGACAGGCCACCGAAAGCCGCCTGGATTCAAAGAGCAGACAGCATTTCACACAGGCATTCGGGTTCTGGAAGCAATTCCTGTGTTATTTTTCTTTTAAAAAAAAGCCGTGGTTATAAATGTAATAGAGCTCCAAAGACAGAGCCGCTCCGGCCACCGCGGGCCCTCGGGAGAGCCTGACGGCAGGCCCGCGTCGACAGATCGCATCCGCAGAAGGAACGAGGTCCCCAAAGCTTCCAGTGGGGGATCGGCTCCTGCAGAGTCCAAAGACCGTAGCGTATGCATATTCGTTTCAGAGGAAATTTTAAAAAAACCCGGGAATAAATGTTAAACAAGTCTTCCTGCTGCTCCTTCTGCGCGGGCACGTGGAGCTGAGGTAGCAGAATGCGAAACCAGGTGGCCGTGCGGGAGTTGCCGCCCCGGGCAAACGCTGCCTGGAGGAGGCCAGCCTGGCTCTTTTGATTGTAAAGAGCAGAAAATAAAAAGGGAGCCCTCTGCGCAGTGCCCCCAACACCCACCCCCAGTCCAACCAACAGTGAGAAGCTAGGCCAGGCTAAAGGAGGCCCTGCTCAAGCCCATGCCCTTGACCTTTAGAAGACTGCAGTGCAGTTCAGCCCGCGAGGCAACCTGTGTGCAGGGCCCTCGGGGAAGTATTGTGATGGGTGCAAAACCCCAGGCCCTATCCCAGAGGAGCTCCGTCTAGAAGAAGGCACATAAGCAGACAACTACAATATAAAACACAACAGGGTGCCGCGTGAGATGGCCATAGCACCACGCCTGAGCCAGGCCGACTGTTGATGCAGTTGGGAGGAGTCAGGGTTCCAGGCCCCTTCTGTACCATTTGAAGCGGAAATTGGACTCCTTGCGTAATCCAGGAACCAGAAGGTACTATCCTGTCTCTGAATGGGGACTGGAAATATGTTGCCCTCAAGCCAATGAACTGTCCATCTTGGGCCATTGGTGAAAACAGGCACACTAGAAAAATTAGCCCTGGCTGTAGGATGGCGTAAGGCTCGATTTTGCCCTACGTGCCAGGTAGGGCAACCCTGGGCCAAGAGACTGATATAAAATTTGGTCTAGAACTGTTGAAACCTGTAGGTTCCCAGGTGGAGCAAAGGAGGGGTCAGTGGGTAGGAATGCCTTTGCG